GAATCTTTATTCCTCTATTGAAAATTCTTTACCTTACTTGTACTGAAATCTGAAATAGCCATCTCTGCCATTGAAACCCATCTTGTGCCTGAGAGTTTTCCTGGCATTCCCACACATTTTCAGGCCTATCTTGCCATAAGAGGGTTTTAAAAATTGTAATAAATGATGAAAGTCCTGAGATACTCTGCTTTGCAGTTTTCCTATACTTTCACTCAAGTGGCCAAAATCACCTAAGTAGAAGAGCTGTTATTCAAATATAAAGCTGGACAAGAAACATTTCAAAAATAGAAATGGATCACCTCTTTCCCTTCCAGTGGTATTTCAAGACCTAAAACTCATGATAACTCTATTTCTTTGTTCTTATCTATTGTCCTTGCACAGAAGACACATGCTTGATTTTAACTACTTTGCCAGATGAAAACAACCAGGAATTTCTATATTCAAGAGCTAAATTCAGGTCTTCCTTTTTCTTAACAAAGATTTGCTCATGAGCCTTGAGTACTTTGATGAAGCCTGAATTACTTTTAATAATTCACAGTCCATGCACTGAAAGACTTAGGAACACATAATTCATCATCTGTTGATTAATGTAATTCACACTGAGAACGGCATACGCACACTGACTTCAGCATAGCTGAAGTTGCAGGCTAGACACTGAAGACTTTGCACCATCAGTACAAAACTCCCACTGAAGTGAGTGAACTCAAGGAGGTCAGACAACTCAACAAAATGTACATGTATCAAAGCCATGCAGAAGTCTTCTTAAGTCACTTTTTATGATCTGTGAGGTTTCTATTTTTGCAGAATTCACAACATTCATCATTTCTTTCCCACAAGAAAGTGAAAGTGACCACCTTTGTATGGTTAGGGTAGTCCAGAAAAATAACAAGCAAACAAATAAATAAAACCAACATGATTTGAAAAGAACATGCAGATGTGTATATGGTACCTTGTTTCTCAACCTAAAGCATCAATCCAGTTGGGGGAGTTGGCTTGAACACATCCTGTCCATCACATACTGAAAAGTGTCATGTGAGATGGATGATCCACACAGGTGCCATTTTTCCCATCTCCTCCCCCCATTTTTTTCCTTTAAGGAGGAGGAATTATACAATTTAGGTCCTAGCACCTTCCGGTGTGCCTACCTCACACATTATTTTAAGTACATGATAAGGAGGAGGGATATAAACATGCACTTCACCACATACATTGAAGTGTTGGCCTGCTACGTATCTGTACTGGCTTGTAAGATAAAAACCAAAAGTAAATATGAAGATGTCTTTGGGAAAAAGCTGCAGCTCAAGTGTAAGTTATCTTGGCTTTTGTGCCTTTTGTATGACTAGTGAGGTAGAACAACCATCAAGAACTATGACGTTGTATTCCCAGCCCAACAGTAGGGAAAGATGGTCTAATGGTTGGAGCCAAGGATGAGGGCCCTATGCAAGAATGGGAAGAATAATAATATGCCAGTGCCAAGCACAACAAAAGGAAGAATAATCCACAATGGGGAAAACTTGATATTTACTGGAATATCCAATGTGTTTAAATCATCCATCATTTTTGCAGGGGAGCAACCTGAAAAATGTAGCAAAGGAACTATATGTTTCAGTCTATCATATAGTGAACGCAAACATATGCTATCAATAAAATCTGTCAAACTCTAATATAGAGAAGCATCCATACAGCCTTAAGAAAAAAAGGTCACTTCTGTCCTTTCATTAAAAAAAAAAAAAAACCTCTGTGTTCTCCCCACCACATCAAATTGATGGTGTTCTTTGTTATCACAAGCCTTTTCCCACTGTATGCAGTAACTGGCACTTTGTGTTATAACTCAGATGTACTGCTGATTTCAAAATCAAGGCTAAGGCCAGGATATGTGAACTACATATGCATCCTGGGCCACGGGCAGAGAGAGGAGGATGTCTAGTGAGGGCTGGAAAGCCAGCCATGTTGCAGAGCTGGCTGTGGGAAAGGTGAAGGGTGCAATGGCGTACATCAGGCACTCCCAAAGGCTTTTGTTGCACGCCACATCGAATCGAGTCGGGGCAGGAGGAAGTCTGTGGCTTGGATCCAGATTTATGTTGGGCCAAGTCCAGTGGCAGAAGTAGCCTTCCCTGCCCCCTCTGTCTCGCAGCAATTCCTCGGAAAAGCGACACAGTGTCAGAAGACCCTGCTGGATGGAGTGTGGGCAGTGCTGGGGGAGGGAGATTCCTTCCCTGCCAGATCCAGTCCTGAAACGGTTCAGGCAAAGCAGGACAGGCTTGTTAAGGTGTCCTGTTTTCAGCTTATGAACCACTCTTGACAGGTCATGGCTTGCAATAGGGACAAACCACTGCAATAGGGATTATTTGGCCTACAGTGGGTTGTCTTGTCACACAAACCTGGACAGCATGGCCTATTGTGAACCAAGCGCTACTGCACACTACCTGCTTGGCAAGTGTAGGGACCCCCCCCCCACACACACACACACACCTTGCCATCTTTGCCGAGCAGCTGTTGGGTGAGGAGGAAATATGTCCGTAGATTCTACGGGGTGCTAACAAGCAAATGAGTTGCATCTGATCTTCTGAGCAGCTAAAAAAGAAAGATCTGGGTCGCCCTGAATTCAGTGGGACATCCAGGGCTGTGCTGGTGGGGTGCAATTTTTGGTGATGTGGGTGCACAACTCCTCTGATAAATGATCCTTCCATAAACTGGATATATTCTGAGCTCTGTTCTTAGCAAAACAAGGTGGGGGGACTTCATGTGAGTAAAGCTTTCCATTGGGACAACTGTGTATGGGAATGGAAACCCGCACTTACCATATTTTAGCTGTATTTGAAAGTGATGAGTATGTAAGCATTCCAGCTACTGGAGCAATGCAAAGCACTTGAAACCTAGACTGGACAATCCCCTGTGGCTGATTCCACCCTCTTACGAAGATGTGCCTCATACCTTTGACGGTTCTGGGAACTGGGGCAGAGACAAACTATAACTAATGGCCTGTATATATATTTGGCATAGCTGTTTATTCATTTTGGGCCACTGGGAAAATCTGCTTCCAGTCTGTGCCTCAGTTTATCATCCTACGAATTTGGCTTAAACACATCCGCTGCACAGGGATGGATAGGATGGAAGAACTCAGGTGGTGTCTACAGAACATTTTAACATTCTTTGGGTAGCAGCTGCCAAACCTCACTCCTTAGCCTATTTGTTACATGAATTGCCTGGCAGGGACCATTATCTGGGCATCTACAAATGATTAATTACCCTGTAAAGTACAAAGTACCAGGTTGGCTGAGGCGATCCTTCTTCAGCAAAAGGAACAGCTAGTGAATATTCAGCTCTGAAATTTGCACACTTTTCATTTCAGTGTGGTTTCTGCTCCCATTTTCTTTACTGAATGTTTCAGGATTGTTTTTGTAGCTACATTCCCTTTTGAGAATGTTTAACCTGAACGAGTTGGTCTCCTGCGTTGCAAAACAACCCTTTGTGTTCATCGTGATGTATTTTGGGCTTTGTAAACTGCTTAGAGGTAAATATTTAGTTATGGCAAGTGTATATAAATTTATTCACTACGGCAGGGGTCCTCAAACTTTTTCTAAAAGGGGCCAGTGGACAGGTGCCAGCGGTGGGCGCAGGCCACCAAGGTGGTGCTGGCGAGGGGGCACGGGCTGGTGAGGGGGTGGGGTGCACACACATGCGAGGCGAGGCGGGGACCGGGGCCACGTGGGGCGAGGCACTGGCTTGCTCGAGAGGAGATCGAGTCCAAAATGACCTCCTCGTGAGCAAGCCGCTGCCGGACACGCGCACCGTGAGGCGCCGGCTTGCTCATGAGGAGATCATTTTCTCCGATCAAGTCCAAAACGACCTCCCTAGCTTGCCGCTGGGCGTGCACAGCAAGGCGCCAGCTTGCTCACAAGGAGATTGTTTTCTTCGAGCTAGTCCAAAACAACCTCCTTGTGAGCAAGCCGCACGCCGGGCAAGTGCAAAACCTGTGGGGCGGGCGGTTAAATGGGCATGGCTGGCCAGATCCAGCCCACAGGCCTTATTCTGAGGACCCATGCGCTACACTAAGTAGTTACTGTATTTTTAGTTTGTGTTTTAAACATTTTAACTGGTGACTTTTTCTATTTTTTGTAATACATTTTAATTTTGGCATTCTAAATTGCTTAAGGGTACTTTTAGATATGTTCAGCACCATACAAATTGATTAAATAGATAAAGTGATGGGTAACACAAAATGTAGACATTTTCTAGATAGCCACAGGTTTTCTTGAATTCCCAGTTTTGAGGTCAAAGTATTGCTCCAAAATCAGAGTTGGAGATCCACATTTAGATCTGGTTGGGAGGTGGTTAAAGCCTCATTGGTGAGGGTGTTCAAGGATAGGCTAGACATGCACATGGTAGGCATGTCATGAGCAGAGCCGGCTGGAGCCAGCGGTCAGACTAGATAGCCTGGGAGACCCCTTCTGACTTGCTCAGTTTCTATGTTTGTTTCTTTGTCTCACATGTGTGTGTGTGCGCGCGCGCACACACACACACACACACAGACACACAGAAGAGTGAGAGAGCTGGAATGGAAGGAACTGTGCTGGATGCTTCTGATTGTCTTTGGAGAAGGGGTTTTAGTGGGTTTTATAGGGATGGGAAGGAGAGGAAACCAGGGTCACCAAGATTCAACCTCTTGGTGGTACCTCAGCCTCTTTTGTTCCAACTCTGCCATACTGCAGTTTGAGATCCCATGTTCCTGTTAAGCAGTGCAGTTGTACATAGTCAGTCAGGCTTCAAGGTCTCCATCATGGCTTCTAATTACTGGGGAGGATGGGGAGCTTTCCCTGGTGCTGAAACTGAATGAAAAAAGCACACAGTGTGGATAGTTACTATACCAGCAACAAGAGTTGCTGATGCAACACTGCCCATATTTGATCTGCTTATTTCATGATTCATTTTCATTGTCAGCTGTTGAAAGGACTGGTTGAAGACCAGTCGATGATTCTGGTTCCTCCGCTTCTCTTCAGGTGTTCACACGCTATGGGAAGTGCTACACATTCAACTCAGGGCAGCCTGACAAGCCTCCGCTCATCACTATGAAGGGGGGAACTGGAAACGGCTTGGAGATCATGCTGGACATCCAGCAGGATGAGTATCTTCCTGTCTGGGGAGAGACGGGTAAGTGCTACGCCTGGCTTCCCTGTCTCCATGTTGATACTTCGCAGGGCCGTCCTTATCAGGTTGCTTCAGGCACCAAATGCTGGGACGTGGCCACACCGTGTCAGAGGAGAGGGCTGTGGACCACCTTGTCTTCCCTGCACCACCTAAGCTAAAGTCTGGCCTTTAGGTGAGGTGGAAGATACTGCACTGTTGGCAAAGAAAGATTAAACAGCCTGTCTTTCTTGCTCCAGGCTCCAGCTGACCCCTCCACATCCTGCCTTATTCTTTTTTAAGTCCTTTCCATCTCATTCCTGAATCCACAAGGCCTCTCCCTGCTTCATTACTTTTCTAGACCTGCACCCACATTACTTTGTTACGAGCGGCACTTCATTACTTTTCTTCCTTGCACCCACATCACACCTTTCCCCATCCCATTCTCTTAGTCATGTTCCCCCATTTGAGGCCTGTGCTGCTTACCATGGCAACCAGCTTATCACTGCCAAGGCAGGAGCTGTCTCTTATCTACAAATAGCATGTTGCTCTCTCATCCCCACAATGCTTGTTGTGGAGATGCATTGTCAGGACTATGGTAGAGATGAAGCATGAATCCCAATTCAAAGTTTACCCTGTGGAAATGGAGTTCCTTGGTTCCTAATTTCTAAAGAGAGATGCATCAGGGGCTCCTCCCTTTCTGGAAATCTCCCCTCTTGACCTGGAAAACCTCTTCCAAGCCTAAAATGTCTTGGTTCTGATCACAGACAGCATGTTCAGGTGAAACTATTCAATTAGTATTGCCTGATTTGCTCCTAGACTGGGCATGGTGCGGGTTCCGACTTAAGTCCTCAGAAGCTCTGGTTCTAATCAGATCAACCATAGCCCTAAAGCACTAAGGCAAAGAGGACGCTAACTGAAGCAGGGGGACTGTGTTCTCCCTAAGTGAGAGAATGAAACAGGGCAAAATCTTCTCCTCTTGACACCATGCCCATCTTTTCATGCATCTGCTCTCTTTTGGGTCTCCTTGCGGATTGCAGGTCGCATGATCAGGGAAGATGCCTGCTTTCTGGTGCTGAGCTAGAGCTGTGCCTCTTTGGTCACCTGTACTCCCTTTCTACTCTTCTTCTTTCTGTGCCACAGATGAGACTTCATTTGAAGCTGGGATTAAAGTGCAGATCCACAGCCAGGACGAGCCACCTTTCATTGACCAGCTGGGATTTGGGGTGGCACCCGGTTTCCAGACATTTGTGTCTTGCCAGGAGCAGCGGGTAAGATAAGGAGGCACCCTTCCCATTAAGCCAGCCTCTGAGACCTGTGCTAGTGTGTATTCCCACTGTTGAGGCATAGCAGGTACCATGGGTTAAATTCTTATTTCTCCCCTGACTGCAGGGAGAGCAGTCGGTTAAAATGAAATGTTTGAGCCAGCATGTCTTTGGATCTGGGTGAAGGGAGTGGGGTCAAATGGTTGGTTCCAGTGGGCTAACAACAGCAGTGACTCCTAAGTTTACACTTGTCTGCATGGCCACATACACAGCATCTTGACAGGTTTCAGAAACACAATAGCCCATGCTCTGTTGTTGAGTATAAATGAACTCATCAAATGAGTTGTTGCTGAAACATGGATCATTGCTGAACCATGGATTATTGTGTTGTCTGAACCCAGCTATGCTAACAAACCATGAACAATCCATTAAGAGAACCCATGGTTTATTAGTTTGTAAACTGTAGGGTGTTCTCCATGGTTTGTTCTCTCAGCTAGGTTCGGACTATACAATCACCCACATTTCAGCAACAACCCTACAGTTCAATTGACAGCCCATACTCAATCCACAAGTGCGGTATCATGTTTGAACCCAGTCAGAGTTACTTATCTATCACTGTATCTTTATTTTTGTCCTATTTTACTATGTGTGCTGCTCTGAAAGTGAGCATATAAGTATTCTAAACACTGATATAAAAATAAAGAAATAGGACATCTTGTTAGCATCAAGGCTGAGGGAAAGGGAAGGCTCTGAAAGGATGGGTGTTACCCAGTCTTTCACCTCCTGAGAGCCAGTGTAGCATAGTGGTTATAGTGTCGGACTTGGACCTGGGAGATTGATTCTAGTCCCCACTTAGCGACATCTGGGTGACTTTGAGCCAGTCATGTACTTTCATTCTAACCTACCTCACAGAGTTATTGTCTCAAACAGAACAGGTAAAAGGATTATGAACATTCCAGAAGGAAAATCTAGGCTAGAAGGTAAAAAGTAGCTACTCTAGAAAGCAAGAATTCTTTGTTCCAGTTAGGATGCCTTTAAACCAGTTCCAATTGTGCATGTGTATGCTTGTTTAAGAAACACATGGCTAGCCCATCTGGTACTGTATCACTTCAGATTGCATATTGCATGACTGAATCTCCCAGCCTCAAAAAATCCATAAACACAGAAATTTAGCACATCAAGTAGAAGACAAGGCTAGAACACTTCTTCGAGACATTTTTCTTTTTATATACAAGATGAGCAGGAAGCTGCAGAAGCTTGAGAGTAGGACTAAAGAGATCAAGGACCAAATTTCTAATCAGCCATGGAGCTCACTGAGTACCCTCAGTCCAGCTCCCTCTCAATCTAACCTACCTCACAGGTGATCGTGAAGGGGAAGGGGGCAAGAACCACATAAGCCACCCTGAGCTCTTTGGAATAAGAGCAGGATAAATGTGTCATCAATAAATAACGTTAAAACTAAATACTCCTATATCACTGTCAGCCATAATGGTTCGTGCTATAGCACTCCACCCACAGGGAGCTTGTGATCATGGGACAGAGTGCACAATGTTCCTCTTTGTCCTAAGTTTGAGTTGGCTCCAGCACACCCTCTTGTGGGAGCAAGAATTTTCACGTGTGGAGGCATCCCGTGGGCTTCGAACCTCCACTTCTCTGTGCATGGCTCTAATGTTCAGCCTCCACCAGTTTCCCGCCTGTTGATGTTGCAGCCTTGGGGCCAGGGCAGCAGGCCCAGGCTGTGTAGCCCAAGGAGCAAGGCCTGTGGAGGAGGAAGGGGCAGATCGGCCTTGTCCCTGTTGGCAGCATGAACCAAACAGAACAATCGTCTCCACTTAGGGCTGCTGCTGCTGAGAGGTACTGCTGCTCTCACCCCCCTCCTTTGGTCCATTCTTGTGCAGCTCATTTATCTTCCTCCACCCTGGGGTGCCTGCAAATCTGTGACTATGGAGTCCGAGTTCTACGATACCTACAGCATCACAGCTTGCCGCATAGACTGCGAGACGCGCTACTTGGTCGAGAACTGCAACTGCCGCATGGTGCATATGCCTGGTAAGAAGGGGCCCGCCTGGTATCGCAAGTGGTGGGCTGGCACGCCACATCTGCTGGCAATCAACTCCCCCCACCCCCGCCAGCACTCTAGGCAACGGGCTGGCTTGCCCTGTTAACCCCTGAAAGATCCCAGACCTGGAACTGAGAGGCAGCATGGTGTAATGGTTGGACCTAGTGTTGGTCTAGGACTGGGGAGACCCACGTTCAAATCCTAAGTCCCCATATGGCTCTGAAGTCCACTGGGTGACTTGGGGCCAGCTGCTGACTCTCAGCTTAACCTACCTCACAGGGTTGTTGTGAAGTTAAAATGGAGAGGAGGACAATCATATATGCTGGCTTGGACTCCTTGAAGGAAAAGGTGGGATAGAAATGTACAAATATACAAGAAAATAGGGTGAAAACTCTTCATTAGAGTGGGACTACAGCATGGACCCCAGGCTGAACCAGGATTAGAGGAGGCCAGGAATCCAAAGGGCATCCTGGAGGCCATACCCCACACAGGGAACCTACAGGTTCAGGAGACCTAATGTGTCCCATTAGGGAGATATCCACTCATGCTGGACCCCCACAATCAATCACAACTGGGTCCTCAAGGACAGTGACTGCGAAAGTCCCAAAGAAAACTTGGTCCCATTGATACCAGTCTCACTTGGCAGCACAGGAGGGGAACGGAGATGCAAAGCACGATCAGAGTCGCATGCAGTTTGCACTCCAGGAACAGTGGAGCCAGGCTGTGCACTAAGACCAGCGCTCTGGCCTGGCGATCTTCTGGACAGCTCCTCACCAGCTCTGCACTAGGCCTGTGGATTGCTGACTGCTGGACAGCTCCCCTGCCGGGCGGTTGGAGGGGACTTGCCAGGAGTGCTCACAAGCCTGCAGTAGAGGCTGGAATGCCAAGCAAGTCTAGCATTTCTGTCTAAGTTGCAAGGAGGAATACTTCCCGGAGGGGTTCATAGTTTGGTGCTGGAGCACACAGTTTGCCAGTCCATTTTCTGAATTTTCCAGTTTACAAAAGCTCTCAGGTGGTCAGGCCAGGAATGCAAAGAGCTCAAACCGGTCAGTCCTAGAGGAGATCAACCCTGACTGCTCTTCAGAAGCCCAGATACTGAAGATGAAACTCAAATACTTTGGCCACCTAATGAGAAGGAAGGACTCCGTGGAGAAGGGCCTAATGCTGGGAACAATAGATGGAGGACAGGAAGGCCTGGAGGAATGTTGTCCATGGGGTCGCAATGGGTTGGGCATGACTTTGTGACTAAACAAACAAAGTCTAGGAAATTTGTGGTCAGGAGAAAGGCATCAATAGCCATAGCCAGTGTAAACCAAATGTATATGTTAAATAGCATTATATACACCACTACATATTTGACCATAGCAGGGTTTTCAGTTTTTAGGTGCAGAATATAACTGAAAGATTTTTTTTCTTTGATTATTTTTAGCATTACATTTTGTCAAATACACAGCTCTCGATCTCTTTCCATTTTAAATCAAGCTATACCAAGTTTTCTGCCATTTCAATACTCAGGCTGGAAACAGTCCTTTGAAGAGGGAGTAGAAGAATATCCCCTGTTCCCCAGGAAGTTGCTGACATTCGTTTCAAAATCAGATCAGCTTAGTTTGTCATCACAATGCTAAATTAATGCTTAATCCAGTGTGGCGTCATGATGACAATACTGAGCACAAATGAAACCATCTGAGCATGACGATGATGCTTCCTGTTCCTGTCTCATGAACAATCGCAACCACTTGGGAATCCCACTGTGAACCAAATTAAATCTTGATGCTCCTTCATCAGTCACTTCATGCAAGTGTTACTGAGGCCGCGTACGTTCAGGTCAGAATGAGGACAAAGCTTCCTGGGCAGGCGGATGTCTCCAGACGTTCCTGTTTCAAAACAAGGACCAAATAAGGAAAAAGTTGTGCAAAGGGCAGGTTCAGTACTGCTGAAAAAGTTTGTTACAGGTGTCCCCAGTTAGGCTCATCCCAAGACTATTTGGTAGTGGACAGTATAGAAAAGTTTTTAATGGATAGATAGATAAATAAATAAATAATTCCCATAATTGTAGAAATTCCCTCTCGGATCCCTTGTCTCCCTCAACCCCCACCCCACCCCACCCCACCCCTGAGTCAGTAATCAGTCTTTCCAGTTAAGCAGGAAACCTTTTCAAACTATCTACTTAGCAAAATTAAACAATGTATTATTTATTCTGGTCAGCTGCATCTCGTGGTGAGGAAAAGGCAAACAGAAAAATGGTTACAGGTATAGGGAAAGGAGAGTGGGTTTTTCAGAGGTAGATGGGACCTACCAGTTGGTATCCAGGCTACTGGAGAATAGGAAATCAGGATTCTGGATGGCCGAAATGGGACAGAGGCAGCTGCAAAGATTTGGATCCAGCTTTGCTTATTTAATGACTGCGTTGATCTTGCTTTAACTGGGCCTTTCATTACAAAGTTTCTGTGAACCAGACACAAGGGTTATGCAGTGACAATATTTTCACTAGCTGCACTTGTTCAATTTCCTACATGGTCTGTGTGGACTGTAAAGAAACATGATGCCCGACTCACACCATGGGCAAAACCGAGGGACAATTTCTAGAATCAACAGAATCAGGTTGTAAATCTTTTCCTAGACTGGACTGCTTTAGTGGGGAATCCAGAATTTCAAAAGCTCTTTCAGCCTCAGGGCTGAATTCCAGCTGTGGTTGGGGCCAAAGGGAAAAGAGGCGGGGCCAAAGGAAAAGGGGTGAAAAATACGTAAAATACCTGTATGTTGTCATTCACTGACATAACTGTTTTACTCTTTTAGAATTGGTGGGGAGGGAGCAGGTGATTGCTGGCAAGCCACTTGATGCTTGGAAGATGTAGAAGTGGCCAAGGGAAGGAGCATGGCCCTCTGGGTCCAGTTTTGGCCCCCGTGCCCAAGGTTTTGCACACATACTGGGGAGTGGGAGACTTGGCCAGATCTTGCATGTCCTGCCTTCCCTGGGATCCCCTTCCCTGCTTGTGAGTGCAGAAGGTCGGAATAGATGCCCTGTGACATGATTACTTTTTGTTTCCCTGCAGGTGACGCTCCCTACTGCACCCCTGAGCAATACAAGGAGTGTGCGGACCCAGCCCTTGGTGAGCACCGACAAGCTGCTTTGCTGGCTTAGCTCACAGGTCCAGCTAGCTCGGCACTCTGTCCCCCCGGTTGAACAATCTGAAATGCACCCACACGGGAAGGGAAGCTGCCATCCCACATGGTTTGCCTGGTAATCGGAGCTACAGTATATTGCTCTAGGCAAAACAATACTGGATCGGCCCTGTGCCCTATACTGGGACAAGACATCACTCTTCAGATAGCTAAGGCTCAGCCATAGAGAAGAGGGCAAAAGGTTGTTCTTTGCTGCCCAGAAAGCAGAACCAGGGCTGGGATAGGGTTAGCATTGCTCTCAGTTGACTGCTTGGGGCAGACTTTTTAATGGGGTGGTTTGGTGCTAGAGCGAATCACCTTACAGTGGGATGTCACTGGAGGTCTTCAAGTCAAGGCTGAGCATCCATTTGTTGGGGGTGCCTCTCTAGTTCCGGATTTCCTGCATCAAGCTGGACTAGGTGGGCTACGATGAGCCCCTCCAACTCTAATTTCCTTAGGCTAAATTATTTCCCTCTCCAGTGGTGGCTACCCGGACGTCTTTCAAAGTTCACAAGCAAGCCATAATATTCATGGACCTCTCCTGTTGTTTGCCACTAGCGGCACCCAGTAACTAATTGCATCTGTAGCAGCTTTATAACATGGATATTCTGTTTGACTATCACGGCTAACAGCTATTGGCAGACCTGCCCTGTGCCCATTCCAAGGGACATCTGATCTGGCCAGTCACAGCTCCCTTAGTCACATCCCATTTGTGCAACCGAACATGCTACACATGGGGTGGCCTTTGGAAATGGCTCAGAAACTACATTTGGCCCAGAATGCTATGGCCAGACTGTCAACTGGCATCAGTTTCAGGGAGCGCGCAACCCCCTTGCTGCAACAGCTTCATGGGCTACCAGACTGTTTCTGGGCAGAAGCTCCACTGTGACTGGTAATGCCTTATATGGCTGGGGGCCAGGCTACGCACAAGGCCACCTTGTCCCATACAAGTCTGCCCAGGTCGTAGGATCTTTTGAGAGCACTGCCTCTGGAGGTGCATTTCGTGGCCTCTCAAGAGCGACCACTCCTAGGCTTGGGAGCTCCAGTCATGAGGCGTACATTCACTGCCTCTCCACTGTCCTTCCACCACAGGCAAAGGGCTTTTTATTCAAGAAGGCCTTTGGCATGTAAGCAGGTATGTTGGGTCGATTTTTTTTACCCTGTTGCTGTCTTTTGAACTGTCCTTTAATGCATTTGTTTTATTATTTTAATCAAGTTGCATTTGTGATGGTAATCTATGCTGAATGCCATTCTTCTTGGCAGCAAGGCACAATATAAATCAAATCAGTCAATCAATCATCTTCCATGAATTTGCCTTTTTTTTTTCTTTTTCCTTTTTCTTTCTTTCTTTTTTTTTTTTTGGTAATCTAAAAGCTAGGGACCATCACTGCCCCCTGGTGGTAGTGGGGATTTCATCTATGAAAATGTGCAGTGTCTCCCAAATGACTGGCCCTTGGATGCTCTGATCCTATCCATACTTGGTCCAAGGTGTGTCTCCTCTACTGCGGTGCAGCGTACTTTCAAATTCCCATGCTCAGGTTTACAGCACTGGGGAAGGGGTACAATGGTCACAGAACAACTAAATATTTTTGTGAGAAAAGCCTCTATCCCTTGATATTCTTGATATCCCAAAGCTCACCCTCAAAATAGTGCTGAATATAGCTTAGTTTAGCTGAATATAAGCAGTTCCTGAGTTATGAACAAGTTCCGTTCTTGAGAAAACAGAAATTCAACTTTAAATTCAATTTGTGTTGAATTTGACTGATCATGTTTGGTTGGCCCTCCATTTTTGGTCAGCCAAAGGCAAGAAGGGGGTCCATCCCTGCTATAAATGCCACTGACTCTAAGCAGATGTGGGCACCAATCAGTACCTGGATAGAAGACCCCGAGGGCCTCACATAAGAAGCCTCTTGGTATTCTGAAGGACAGGTAACATACAGGTGCAGTCAGAACACTGCCTTGTACACCTCTTCCCCCAAACGAAAGCTTCCCTTTTTGATCTGATTTTGTTTTGAGCTGACCCCCGGTGACTTCTGCCTTTTTTCCTCCTCCGTCCCACAGACTTCTTGGTGGAGAGGGACAATGCTTACTGCGTGTGTGAAATGCCTTGCAATGTCACCCGCTATGGCAAGGAGCTCTCCATGGTTAAGATCCCCAGCAAGGCATCCGCCAAGTACCTGGCCAAGAAATACAACAGGAGTGAGCAGTACATTGGGTGAGTGCATCTGCCCAACTTGACCCCCCCTCAAGCCACTCGCTACTTCCCTTGCCCAGCCCAAGAGGGCAACTTCAAAATCAAGAAGGTTAGGACTGAGCCACAGGCTATTATCAGAGGTAAGCCAACAGCCAGGAGCAGGAACCTCGGACAATGCCTGAGAGTGAGAGCAGAGAAACACCAAAGCAGGGAAGGTCATTGTCAAGTTCCCCTCCCAGTTAGGAAGCCCGTATAACCCTTTCTTCCTAGGAGGACTGCCTAGCCAGGCTGGGTGAGCAGGGCACCTCCAGAGCATCCCTCTTCATTGCCCAGGCCAGGGAGAGCTCCTCACGGCAGCTCACACAGAGTGGGGGGCCCATCTCCAGCCTCTGGTGTATCAGCCTTGACATCTGTGAAGAAAGTGTCACACATCACTGGACAAATGGCAGCATCCCCCTTTTCTGTGATCTCTCTCACCATTTCCTTTCATGATCAACACACAGTTTTCCATGCCTTGGACTGGTATTAGTTAAATCTTCAACTCTTGGTCCCAGGCAGGTAAGCCTATGCCAGTGTTGGGCTCATTCACAAGGTAAATTGCATGCAGGTTTCCCAGTCAATGCCAGGCGGAGTTTTGTTTCAGTGCCGTTCTTGACCCTGTCCCCTCCTTTCCTCTGGCACAGGGAAAACATCCTGGTACTGGACATTTTCTTTGAGGCGCTGAACTATGAGACCATTGAGCAGAAGAAAGCATATGAAGTCGCTGGACTTCTGGGTGAGATAACCTTTTTTTGGCCACAAGCTGGTGGGAATCCTGCATGCTTTCTGAAGGGTGACTCTCGGCTGAGCTCAGTGCCCCACGACAGTCCCCAGAGCAATTCCTGATGAAGACTGTGTGCTTTGTGCAGCTCTAGAATGGTGCCTGGCAAGTGAAAAAATTATTGAGTACAGGATCCAGCATCCCGATAATCCTGGCTTTCATTTCCAAGACCCCCCCCCACAAGTGCATATCTAGCTGCAAAGAGGTATTAGCAATGCCTAGTAAAATCAGAAGCTGGGGGAGAGGAGGAGGAGGAAGATGGTTAAGTAGGATTTCCAGGAGGAAGGATTCTATGGCCTCTATAGCTGTCACTCTTCATAGTATCCAAAACAAAATAAATTACACTAAATGCAAATTATTTCTCATTGTTTTAAAGCGGGGCTAGACAAGTTGTGGATGTTTTGGCCTACAGCTCCTATTATGTAGACTATGCTAGCAAAGGCTGATGGGCCTTGTAGGCCCAGATAGCTGGAGCGCCATAAAGTGCCTACCCCCTTTTTAATTAATATAGCAGGGCATAAAAACAGTTGCTGAGCATAGGTCATGGCTGGCAACCTCCAGGCCAAGCTAGAAAGCACAGGCATGCGACAGAGCAGAGGGCAGGTGTTTGGTTTTTTGGTTGTTCATCTCATCTTTTATTTCCACAGATTCTCCCTTCTAGCTATAAATGGGCTTGCCAACTTGTGATTTAAAAAATATCTGGTCAGTGGGAAGGGCAGGGATAGGGCGTGAGGGCCTGGGCCTGGCACATGTCTTGTGCAGCCTTTTCCAATCTTGGGTCCCAGATGCTGGCATACAGCTCCCGCCATTCCCAATCAGCCCTTGAAATGATCAGGGATGATTGGAGTTGTAGACCCTCTGGCAATCCAAGAGCAGGTCTAGCTAGTAGATCAGGCTGTGGGCTTGACAGAGGATGTTGAAAAGTTCCCTAAACACCACTCTTCTTCAGTGATAGCAAACTCGGGCCAAAATACTCAGAAGGCATGTCTTGGGAACCCCTTCTTCTGATCCCAAATGGCTTCCCAAATCACCATCTTCCCCCTCTCAATGTCTAGTGATGGGCCATGCAAGTCAGAAGAGTTGAATGTTGGGGCTCTGGAAGGGATAGTGATGGGGAAATGTGCCGAATCTCCGTGCCAGTTGATTGCTCTCCTTCCCTCTTGTTTGCAGGTGACATTGGGGGACAGATGGGGCTGTTCATTGGGGCCAGTATATTAACTGTGCTTGAGCTATTTGACTATGCTTACGAGGTGAGTTTCCATCCCTGGAACATAAGAGGAGAAGGGGAACTGAGCCGCATAGTATATGGCAGGGGTGTGGGATTGCTTGCCTGCAGGCTACATCTGGCCACACCCCCTCCCCCCAAAAAATTCCCTTTAACGGTTTCCCAGCTTTTGGGCAGCCCCCCTCCCCCATTCTGAAAGGTTGACATGCCTCCGCTAAGCCGGTCTTTCTGGTGGAAACAGCTTCAAGCAAAAATGTTTCCCCTGCGCTGTTTGCCTTGGCACCCCTGGAGCACGTCCTCTGAGGGCTTCTCCAACGCGGACTTGGCACTTGAGCTGCAAAAGGTCTCTGCCGTGGCATGAGGCCTCAGGGAGGAAGTTGTGGAGGCACATGATGCCGCTCCACACAGAAACTGGATTGGTTCGTCCCTGCATGGGCACTCCCAGGCAACCAGATGGAAATGGAAAGTACAGGGAGGTTTTTGAAGGAAAGGAGGGGCAGACATCAACTATGCCACTATGGAATAATAAAGTGCTCTTCCTCACAACTCCCTGGGATGCGCATCTTTCTTTGTGGCTGATGTGCAAAAACAGCCTTGCAGGGCTCCCAGTGACAGCCTCTCCCTTCTCCCTTGGCCTTTTCACTTTTAATACTGCTTTTTAAGTGATTTATAGATCTCGCGACACTTTTAGAGTTTCAAGATGTGTGAAAATCTATGGCTGCTGGGAGTTTTACAGTGGTTCTTTTATCCCACCCTGCTGTGGTTTTAGGGTTGTATTTACAATTTAGGGTTTATGTATCGATTCTCTTTTAGTATAAGCCACCCCAAGAACTGTTTTTAGAAGGGGCCATATAAAAGTCATTGAATATGTTTTTTAAAAGGTGAACTAAATATTCTGACAGTGCCATGATGCTGTTGGGCCATATCGTTGCCTCTTTTAGCATGTTGCAGAGATGCTTTTACAGTAGTCGCACCCTCCCCGGACCGCTCCACTCGTCTGAGGCACTGGCTGGCGCCCTGGGCTCTTGGCTACCCCCTTCTTCGTTCTGCTGCAGTCCAACTCCGTCCCTAGTGGAATGGCCACTCAGAGGCCTCCCAGCAATTTGGTTGGCTACAACACTGCCCAGCCCAGCCCATGTTACCCCCCAAGCAAAAGGAAGTAGGCACTGCACCTGGGTGGTTTGCTACCTTGCTCTTGGGCATCCACGTCCTGCACCTGTTCTGGCAGCTCCACTCAACAATGGGACTGTAGCAAAACAGTAGGGCCATCTCATAGCATGGTTTGTTTCCCAAGGGTTTGCTTCAGAAAACCAAATTCCCTCTTGCCTCCTAGGTTATTAAGTTCCGCCTCTGTCGTGCCAAGTGCCAGAAGAAACACAAAAGTAACAACAGCGACAAGGGTGTAGCCCTGAGCCTGGATGACGTGAAGCGCCATGTGAGTGCCTTGCCTTAGGTTCCATTAGTCCCGTATGCCACCAACCTCTGTTAAAGCCAGGGTAGGGACGTTGTGGCCCTCGGGAAGTGTGGGCCTTCAGTTCCTGTCCTACCTCAACTCTGGCTATAGTGACTGGGGCTGATGGGAGTTTCAAGCACAGACATCTGGAGGGTTAAGTTGCCCACCACTGTCTTAAATCACAGAAGCCTGGCCAGGAAAAGAAAGGAAAAGCTGGATGCCCTACTGCAAGTTTGACAGCTTCTGTAGTTTGGAGGGAGTCGCAGTGACCACCATAGAGAAGGTCCCATTCTCTTAATGAGTATAGGTACACAGAGGTTGGATTCCCCCTTTCTGTGAGCTTTTGGACACACCGCCCATAACTGGCTGTGGGTCTAAAGTGGCGATGGATCTTTGATCTACGTCTTTCCTTCAAAGACGAAATGCCCTCCCAGGTTGCCACTGCCCTATCTCCACGGCTGCCTCCAGGATCCAACAATGTGGGCCCACAGGTGAGTGAAGGTACTAACGAAGGAAGGGCGCCATCATCCCTGGTTTGCGTTGGGCCACTTAAGAAGGTGGAGGCAGCAGTCATCTCCACAGTACCATCTCTCCTCTTCCTGGGCCACCTTGGGTGAAGCAGGGACCAGGTCCCACAGAGGCCTTTGTGGCTGATGGTGTGAGAGGCACCGGGGTGCTGGGACAGGAAGTGGGGTGCCCATTCAAGTCTGGATGTGTGCCAGTTCAGGTCGCAGTTAGAGTGACCACGGATGGCCTCCCGCCTTTGCACTCCAGCATCTTGCAATTGCTCGGCACAACCTTCTGTTTATCATGCCACTGCCTGTGCTGACTCTTCCCTACTTCTCCTCTGCTCTCCAGAATCCGTGTGAGAACATCCGAGGCCACCCAGCGAGCATGACATACACAGCCAACATCCTACCTCACCACCCGGCCCGGGGAACCTTCGAGGACTTTACCTGCTAACTGACGACTGGATGTACAACTAACACTACCAAAGGGAAGGGCCCATGCTGAGCAGCCCTGGCCCAGCCCAGCCCGCGAACCTGCCAACCTACTTATCAGGGCCGCTATCTCAGACTCACAGGGGAGGCAGCTGACTCCAGCCCCTCCTCATTCACCCAAGGCAGTGATACGCACACGGAGCAAGCTGAACAGAGGCAGGGTCTGTCCTGCCAGGACCACTCTGGCTTCTGCTCTCGTCTCAACGATGCTCTTGGACTTTAACTCAATGGAAAGGCTGCCAGGAGAACCTTCTGCAGTGTCAAGTGGAGGGGAGGGCATGGCCTTCTCCAGTCCACACACCAGAAATCTGGATTGTCTGATTGTCCCTCCTTCTGTCTCCATCCTGCTCCATGCCCACAGCAAGCCTTGCACAGGGGGGCAGCCATCTTGTGCAGAGGTGGCCTCCCTTTTAATCTCGATGCCAAGAAGAACCTGCAGGAGCTCCGGCCAGGCTGCCCCCCATGGTGTTCTCCCCATAGAGGCTGCCAAGCCTGTCCAGAGGAGGTGCTGCATCAGTTCCCTTCCGCACCGCCACCCTTACCCCTCTTGCTGTGCATTATGGGAGGCCACCTTCACGCCTTTCCCAGTAGCAAGACTGTGACTGAACTGTGAGGGCCACTTCAATAGGACATATTCTCATCTGTTTGTCTCATCCAGCTAGCCGTTTCTCACTTGGTCCAGCACTTGGACTCTGCTCTGGGCCCAGGCCCGGGCCTGGGCACCCCTCCCCTCCCGTCCCGTCCCCTCCCCTCCCCTCCCGCATGAAAGAGGCAGGTGAGTGACGGGGGATCAACTGCTCCAACGTTCAAAACATCCCAGCTCTGAGGTGCCCAAGCCCCCTCTGTGCATGTTCTGAGGGGTTATATGAAACTCTCAAATATTATGGTTCAGGGGGAAGCTGGCCATTCCTCAGAGTTCTCAGTGGGATTTTTTTAAAAACCCAGATTGTTTTCAGACCTTCTGAGTTCCATCGTTGTTGAAAGGAGAAGGAAGCAATCTGCCCTGCATTTGATCCTGGCTTTCCTCTTCTGCAGGCAGAAATAACACACCATCCTTCCTTTGGCTGTACAGAAATGCAGGGGTGACCCACAGCAGGTCCGGCCTACTGGCCTGAGCACCTGAGGCATGGAAGACGAAAGGGAGCCTCTAGGCCATCCTGCTGTGACGCTGCGCAGAACAAGTTTCCCCTTAATGTCTACGGGCAGACAACCCTTTTGTCCCACCTTTCAGGGACCTGTTTGCCAGTGATAAGGGGAGAAGTGCTTGCCAACTTGTCAGCATAGACCTAAATGAAGAGCAGCTCAGTAAAGTACCTCTCTCACTAGCCTTGGCAAGACAGGCCCTCTGGTTGCCCCTGAAAGAAACCCCGAGTCCTGTGACATCCATGCTGCAACCTGATTGTGGAGGTCACTAAGCTTGCTGTGGTGCTCCTCAGCCATTCAAGCCCATTGATAGTCAAGCCAAGATGGAAGAGGGCTCCCTCTGGAGAAGGGCCTTCCCAGGTGGCCAGCTGGAAGGCTTGGAGGCAACCACAGACTGGGCAGGGTGGCCAGGCCTGGCTTTCATAGTGTTTGCTTCTGGCTTGTTTTTTTATCATGCGGTCTGTTCACAGTGCCCCACCTGAGCAAGGCAACAAAGCGGGGAGGCGCTGAGAGTGGAGGAGCTGGCTCCTTAGGCGCAGAAGGGGCTACCTTCTGCTCCTAAGCCCTACCCCTGGGCAGACACCATGCCTAAGACAAGACAAGCTCTGCAATCGAGAGAGAGCCCAGCCACACAACGTAAGCAAGGGAATGACACCCGCCTGCTGCAGGTTTGTCCAGAATGTCAGTTTATAGAATGAACCTGAAGGGGGCTTGTGTGCCCAGCCCTGTCCTGAGAGAAGAGACAGAGGAGCAAGAAAGCTTGACTGGCTCTGTCTGTGGTGGGCTAGCATGTGAGGGGTCCTATGCAGCAGCCAGGGAGGAGTGGTCTCCCTCATTGCCTTACGAGCCCATGAGTGAAAAGAGACCCAGGGGATTACGGACAAATTAAATGAAGGCTGAAAATGAACCCAGCCCTGTGAAATCCATCCAGAGCCCCACAGGAACCATGGGCCTTGATGGCACTTGTCCCCCCATGGCTAAAACGGCTTCTTGGGCTCTTGCCTGGTGCTTTGGTGCCCTGTGGGGCGCACTCCCGGGTGGAGAAGCTTGTTCTTTTCATTCTTAGAGGAAACCCCTGCCCCACTCCCACCTGGCCCCACTGCACTGAGTGCCTGCCTCCGTCCCTGGTGCAACCCAGAGCTTCTCCCAACATGACCAACCAAGACGCACTGCAGGGGCAGTGCCCAGGGCCAAAGGTCTCCTTTAAGAGCTTTTGCAATAAAATCTCCTTTTTAAAAAGCTTTATTTTATTTTGATCCTTATTATTTCAGGGCTGGGTCTGGACTTGTTTGTTGAGAGAGGGGGTGTTGCGTATGGACCCCCGAGTCTCCCAAGGCTCTGGTTTTCCAAAGATGTTGCCACCCTGCCATGGCCAGAACTTTTCCCATGGAGCTTTCCGGAGGGTTCTTTGCTTTGAGAGCTTTTGTTTCTTTTTCTTTCATTTCCAATTGGTCGTTTTTCTGCTTGAAAGCTTTTGAAGATAGGGTTCAAATTTAATCCCTTCTCCCCTCCCTCCCATGTGTTTGTCCATTTTTATTACTTCATGCTCATTTTATATTTCTTATATATAAAATATGATATATATTATATATATGTACATATATATATATAGATATATACACACACATTCCTCTGTATGCGCCATGTCAGTGTATATATCCATCTAGTAGACTCAAAAGCCTTGATATTGTGCCATTATACTTTTTTTCCAACTACCAATCTCTGAATGCCTTCAAGTGTATAAAGTGTTGAATTCTCTCTGGTATCTGTACTATGTACACATTTTCATAGGAAGCACAAGAAGATGACAAATGCATTGTATATCAAAACTTGCTCCTCTTAATGATATAAAGGATGATACCAACCATGGAGACTCAGCCTTTTCCTCCTTTGCTCTGCTGCAGGATTCCGTAGCCTTGCTCATTCCTCTTCTGCACTTGTGCTTTGCCGTTGTGGCATCAGAGCAGCGAGGTGCCAGTCCCCACTGCGGGCAGCAGGCGGCAGCACCCTGGCAAGGGAGGAGGAGATGTGCGTCAGGCCGGGCACCCTTAGGCCTAGATCCAGATCTCGTGTACTTCAAGTAGACCCAGGGAAATTGATTGGGCTTGTGAGTCATGAGTAACACGCCTCATGGGCTTCAATGGCAATTCTCTGACCAGTGCTAAATCTGGATCCAGCCCCTGATCTGGAAGAGGCAGGGCGGGCGGGCACAAGCAGCAAAGCCCCTTCTGCCTCTGGCTTGTGGGATGCCCTGGGTGCGGGGCGAGGAGGGCAGCCCTTTGCCGTGCTTGTGGAGCCTGGCAGACACCGGACCCGTTAGCCCCGTGTGTGGATTTCCCCTCGTACGTGTTGCCTGTGCAGAAGTGGTCGAGTGAGGATTGGTCCTCCTATGACTATTATTATCATCATTGTCACTGTTATTTTGCATTTATACCCCACCTTTTTTCCACTTGTGAGGAGCCCAAGGCCGCTGACCTATGCCTCTCCATTTTTAGCCTCACAGCAACAATCCTGTGAGGTGGGCTAGAATGAGAGTGAGTGACTAGCCCAGAGTCACCCACTGAGCTTCACAGACCAGCCTAATACTCAGACCACCACCCCATGCTGGCTGCATTTGTGTACATTTCGTGATTTGGAGTGAGGCTCTAATCATGGAAGTAGAACAGACTTAGGGATCAAGTAAGTGCATCTTTCAAAGCAGACTGCTTCCATGGAGTGAACGGGGACGCAAGGGATGGCAATGCACACCCAGGCATTGTATGTACTCTTGCTTCAGGACTAGGAACAAGCCTGGAGTACAGACACATTGTCCTTGCTAACAGAGGCCAAAGAGCTGGCTTTTGCCCTGACATTGCACCAACCGCAGTCACTGAGCATCCATCGGATGGAGACCAGGTTAGATATTCGTACACACTGCAAGCTTCCAGACCTGGAGCGGAGAGATTGCACTTCTAATACAGCCTCAGCTGTGACACACAACATGGTCACAGTCAAGTCACACTCTATCAGCCTTGGCTCCCATCTGTAAAATTGGAATAGCTGTCTAATCCAAAAGAGTGTGGTAAGGATGAACAACAGCAGAATAGTAAGAACATACTATCTCTCTCCGGCAGGGCAGTTGACAACCAACTGAATAATGCTTTCATTTTTTCCCCCACTGAGTTTCACATGTTCCACCAGGTGTGGGCAAAATTCCAGCAGTTCAGTGGGTTTTAACTTGAGCTGCTGGCCAGCTGCCCTGGAAACCCTCATAGCTAATCTACATTGGTGGAAATTAGTTTGCGTGGAGGGGGAGAGCTCACAGTTGGACCCTGACGACATGAAGAGGTACAGCATGGCACTAATCCTTTAAATTGCCTCCTGCACTTTTCACATCTGTTAATTTGACTGTAAAACCTGTACCGAAGTAGGTGCCTTTGGTCATATGTACTTCTGATAAAAAAGAAAATTCAGAATTGCTTCCACTTTCCATCCTGGCATTAACAGATCACATATTGCAGAGAAAGTCATTTCTTGCATGATCAATAAAAGGACCTTTAGAGCACAATTCTTTGCAAATTCTTTTGTGTAAAACTTCAAAGGGTTGCACCTTTATTCTGTGATGTACCTATTTACTGGGCAGGGCTTTGGGGTTGTAAAGTGGACCCCCCACCCCAAATATGAGACACTCACCTGAACAAACTGAACTTTTCAGAGTGGAATGGACATCTTGGCATCCCATCTCTCCAAAATGGCAGTCGCACCATCTCCGCAATCAATAAGACAATGTGCATTGTTTTGACTTCCACACTTAGCAAAGTAAAGCTTCCTCTGAAGATT